GGAATGGTAGTCTGTAAGGATGCGTACAAGCCGTTACTTATCTGTACTTGAGGTGGAGTAGATAGACGTACCGAGATGTGTACGGCAATAGAGGAAATGGGAGGCGGACGGGTGCAAGAACAGTTCTTGATGGGGAAAGGGTACAAGACAGTTGAGGATGTCCGTTTGGGCATCATTGTTTAGTCCGCTTCTCTGTCCTTGTTTGAGGGGGCCAGTGTTGGAGCTAAGGATAGCGATGGTGCATGCAGGACCAGGTTGACCGGTCCAAGGGAGAAGCGAGGGGAGTCGGAACAGCTTCTACGCAGAAACGGTGAGGACTTAACCATTTCAATCAGGGAGTTACCGAAGACGATAATAAGTCAATGTCGGCAGGACACGGCTTCAACCACTGATAGATTATAGTTGTTAATTGTGGTGTGGTAGAAGCATATTCTCCAAAGGAGGAAGGTGTCAAGAAGTTTATCAGTGACTATGGCGCAGTTTGGTTGTAGTGCATGCGAGGGGTGACAGAGAGGCAGAGCCACATTAACCTCAATTCTTTGAAATACTATAATAGACGTTTGAACGGAGATTCTTCTGATGCATCGACTGTCGATACACCTCCGATCGGCTGTGAAGGCACAACGGCCCTTGCGAACACTGACGATGTCGGACGACAATTCTGAGGTGAGGCTTCTATCTATCCTGGGCGCGAGTATTATTAATTCAGCTAACACACATGACAAATGTCGAAGTTACCAGACAAATGAGGGCGGCGAGAGACAAGGCAGATTCAAAGGAGTTGTCAAAAACGGCCAAGCAGGAAGGTATCATACCCCAGCCATATTCGGAGGCTCATTCGCTTTCTCAGCTTTGGCGACCTTGCACGCCCTATACCAAGAAAGCCTGTCGTCAATCCGCCGACTGCATTACAGTAGCTACGAGTTCTCTGAGCTGGCCCTGACGGCAGCTAGAGCACCGAGTACTGGTGGGGCGGCTGAGGAGGTCCTCCGGATGGTATTAGACGAAGTTATCAACCGCCAGGAGCCGGTAAATTGCCGTGGGAAACGTGAGTGGACATGAAGACGTTAGCGGAGAGGATTGGGAGATTTGCAGTTGGTCGGAGTACATATGATCTGATCACTCGAGCTGCCAACGATCATACCTCGGCCCGAGCCGGCGGGGACTTTTCCGAAAACGTACCACTCAATCAAGGGTGGACCATGGTCACGTTGAAAAACCTTACCGCGGGCTTTTGCACTTCTAGAGGACTACGAATCATGGCAGAGGAGTCCCTCGGTGGGAAACTCATAGCAGAGTATGTTGGTGATCGAGTGGTAGGAGCTGGCGGGAAGAAAGTCTAAGATCTTATAGTTCTATAGGTATTGGCCCCTGAGGCCGCCGTGGAGCTCAGTAGTGGTCTTTCTGGCAGAGGAGCCGTGCAGATGTTGACGGGTCTATGCAACTACACCATACATTACCCCAAACTTGATGCTCATGGGTAAGAGGCTTGTCGCCTTTCTGTTTACCTAGCCGAGTATTTAGATATGAGGCATTGAGTGTGCGAGTGTGGGCGCGACTTCTTGGCTTGGCTTCTCGTCACTCGGTGACAGAACTGGCTCTTAGCGACTTTGCTATTTTGTATCGGAAAGTACGTATAGGTTCATTGACAGTGCACTAGGAAGGAAATCGCGATTTTCAGATAGCAGAAGTATTACCACATCTAGATGAAGACAGTCGACATGACGTTGCTCGAGCTGCTGAGTGGTTATTGATGTATGCTGAGGACGTGACGTGAATGATTCTCATGTTTCATTCTGTTTCATATCACATCAGT